TCCAAGTTCCGCTTCGGTGCCACACTCAAGACCTGGGGCGGATTGCGGACTCGCGCATGATCTCGACTTCTCTGAATCTGTATGGGGAACTGATATCTGGTTGATTCTTCTTTTTCGACCGCTGTGACTGCAGCCAACATCTATGGCAAGGTTTTCCGACAACAGCCCTTTGCTTGGCCCTGCCTGTCCACTTCTGCTTTCCCGGCTTCGGCGGACGCTACATTCGTACTGATTGAGTTACTCAAGTCTTTGAAGGAAGGTAAAGACTGCACTTCGGTCCATGACTTGGTCGAGCACACTGTATGGTCTGGATCTGTCATCGCCGGGAGATAACTAGGTTGCTGTGAGTCGCACTGCTGCTGCAGGTAATGTTTCCCACCGCCTGCTACATGATGTATGTTGCTCACCGTCACTTCGGCCTCAGCTTCGAGTTTTTCTCACAAAACCTTGTCTACTTTCTCTCACGTAACACCTCTCTATTCTTAGTCTCTCATTTTTCACCTCCCCAGGTATGGTAATGAGCGAGAGAGAGTGGGCAGGTTGTGCATCTTGCCCGACCTAGCTAGCTCGAGGCTATTGTCTTTTCGACCAGCGCCTAGTTGATGCCGCTTGATGAAACGTTTGACTGGATGTAGCAATGTCTGCAGATCGCTAGTTGCTTGGCGTTTTCACTATTTTTATTTTAAAGAAAGTGAAATTTTCAATTGAGGGATAAAACTTGCAAAATCAAGAGAATACAAAAACTAATACCAAGTTTAAGGCTAAAACCTCCAATTCATGCCCCCCAAAATGATAACTTCTAAAGGTTTCTCTATTCTAAATCCAAAAATGTGTTCTAATTGAAAATTTTCTTTATTTTCATTTTGGCATGAAAAGAAGAAAAAAAATATTTTTTATTTTTTACTTTTTTGAAAAAAAATTAGATTTGGGAATACCGGAAATTGACACTTTTGGGCGGGATTTTGTGAGTTCAATAAACCATATACTATTGGATCAAACCTAAAATTAATCTCAACCATTCCAAAACCAAGCTACTTTGTTATATAGATAAATGAAATATAATCCAATAGAATTTGAGTATGACATTTTTTAATCATTTTAAAATGTAAAAATTCAAGAATTTTAGGTTAAGATTTGAAAAGTTGTTCTGGCATAGAGCTTTGGATTGGGCGAGAGAGGTTGTTGCAAAGATTTGGGTTTGGTGAGATTTGAGGCAAGATTTGGGATAATTGAAATTGACACTTTTCTGCTGGATTTTGTGAGTTCAATAAACCATTTATACTGTTAGATGAAACCTAAAATTAATCTCAATCATTCCTACTAAATGTATCTCTAAGATTCATTCGATGCAGTTAGTGAACAGAGTGTGATTGATATACTGAAAGTGAACACAAAGTGTGATAGATGCACTTGGTGAACAAAGTATGATTGATATACTGAAAGGGAACACAAAGTGTGATAGATGCACATGAACACAAAGTGTGATAGATGCACTAGGTGAACAGAGTGTGATTGATACACTAAAAGTGAACACAAAGTGTGCTAGATGCACTATGTAAACAAAGTGTGATTGATACACTAAAAGCGAAAACAAAGTGTGATAGATGCACTTAGTGAACAAAGTATGATTGATATACTGAAAGTGAACACAAAGTGTGATAGATGCACTTAGTGAATGAAGAAAAGTGTGATATACTAAAAGTGAACACAAAGTGTGATAGATGCACTTAGTGAATAAAGTATGATTGATATACTAAAAGTGAACACAAAGTGTGATAGATGCACTTAGTGAACAAA